CCAACCATACCGAAACTCAGAGAAAAAGAGAGCCAGGTGTAGACAGAAAGCATGGAGCTTGGGAGGAGAGGGGAAAGGAAGGTGCTTTGGGTCCTTGCTAGGGAATAAAACCTGGAAATTATAACTAAGAAAATACAGTTAGCATTCATCCTCAGCTCTCCATATAGCTGTGGAAAATGAGTCATTCAACAGCTTTTTGGGGGGATATCATTGCTAAAGAAAAGTACTTCTGTGTCCATGATGAGCCTTCTCCCCAAAATGCAGCTGTGTTGTTTTGTGTGCATTCCATGTGGCTCCTTACCAGGGGGCTGTGGGGGGCGCGGGCAGGGCCGGGGGAGTGCAGGGAGGGCCGGGGGACCTGCCCGGGCACTGCATTGTGAGCTCAGAACCGGGAAGCAGTAAAGGTTCCTGCCAGGCTGCAGTGGGAGGAGAGGGGCTGGAGAGCAGATTCCTGGCTGGTTGCTTCCCCTATGTCTGTCAAACGCAGGCACCTCCTCCACCATCCTCAAGGACAGGGGCGAAGATGAAGACCACCATGTTGCCAAATTTAGAAGCAGATGTTTTGGGAACGGGTTTGTCTGTGAGGACAGAAGAGGATTTGGCAGGTGGAGTCCCCTGGCCATGCTACCTACCTGGGAGCACCTTGCTTTGAGGACACTGAGGGCAGGATTTCTCCCTTGGTATGATGGAGTCACAGCCCGCTGCAGAGGGTGGTTTTTCTGCAATGCAAACACAGGATACACCACAGCTGCTAAGTTTCTCCCTCGCCTTTGGGGGCTGCAGCCACCAGAGAGGGGGATCTCGCCAATATTTGCCAATGGCTGGTGAGTTGCTCGCTCACGTCTGTCCTTCCCTTGCTGGGGGAGAAGAGCCGACCTACAGCTATGTGCACCCGCCCTGACACCAGCCATGACCTCCAAGCGTCTTGCGGCTGTGAAGGGATGTCTCCCCACTGCCCTCACAGATGGGACCATCACTGTCCCTCCACTGCATCTCACTACTTCTTTAGCTCAAAGTTTAGGATTTAAAAACCCCAGGGAGAATTCCCAGCTGTGGGGGCAGCCCCAGCTCTTTGCTGTCTGCTCACTGTGCCCGCAGAGGCACAGCCCGTTCAGAGGACCCGGGGTAATACAGGCCATCCAGAGCCACCATTTTTTGCTAAATCCCCTTCCAAATTTTATGTTGGTGATGCCAGGTTTGCGTAAGTGATAAGGCAGTTGGTATTCACTGCCCTGGATGTTTTTAACCACCTACTACAAGGGCACAGAGGGGCTGGCAGCAAGAGGCAGGTGGTGCAGAACCGCTCCAGCTGCAGCCTCCTAACAGCAGCTGCAGCTTTCAGTGCTGACGGCTAGAGGCTGCTGCTCCCATGCGTCTCTGCTGCCACCACTGCTCTTGGGGATGAGGATATTAGAGAGTCCCAGAGTCTCCAGATTCTGGTCTATGCTCTCACCTTGGAGCTTTGTCAGGTCTTTGGTAAAATGCAGCTTTAGTTTGCACGGCCCTACAGGAAGCCCGGTTTTTCCCCCTGGCTCTTCACAGGACTTCAGAGCAATGCAATTTAGCTACAAGTACACTTTTTTTCCAGCTGTACATATTAACTTAATGAAGAGCAAGGTGGAAAATTCAACTGGCTGCAGAGAAGGGGCCACTGACTGCACCTGGCAGCACCCTGCCTGCCACTGCACCACATCCCGTTGTGTGACCTCCGCACCAGCTCTGTCTGCACAGAAGCACCCTGCCTGACCACTGCTCAGCCCCAAGGACCCTGTCACCCCTTGCACTGACCCCTGTGCCAGGGTCCCTTTGCCGGCACACTCCAGAGCAGTCGAGCCATTCCCAGTCCCTCCTTGCCACTGTGGCAGTGGCTGCAAGCAGGATACTCAGGGCACCTTTTCTGCTCCTCTCCAGCGAGAGCACCATGCCAGAGCAGCGACGGGAGTGCACAATGGGGAAAGCCCACGTGCTCGATTTGCAAAGCACCCTCGAGTTTGGCCCATGCTTTCCTGCCACCCCCCACTCCGAAAAACACCCCATGGACACCAACCTGCGCTTGGTGCTGGCTGGGTGCTGCCGGCTGCATTGGCAGGGTCGTCATAGCAACTCTGCCAAACTCCTGCGCAAAGGGTCACGGGAAAGCGGACGGGAGAGCTGGAGAACTGAGCGGCTGCGAGCAGAGACAGATGCTGGTGGGATGGGGGCTCATCCCGCATGTCCCACGGTGAGAATGAGGGATGCAGTCAGAGCTGGGCTCCTCCACGGAGCCACCAAGCGCATGACGTTCTCTGGAGCAACGTGTCTTCGAGTTAAGGATTATCCAGCAGAATATAGAATGCTGATAAGCAATGAGTGCTTCATCTCTGGTTGGTTTGCTTACATGTGCAGCAGCAGAAGCCTGGAAATGAAAGCACTAATTACGGTACTGGTAGGTAACAAACAAGTCAGTTCTAAAAAGGAGAAGCCTCCTGAAAATGCATATCACTGGTCTCAAAACAGAAATCTGAATAAACCTGACATTTCTCCCCTGTAATTCCCTCAGCCATTGCATTTCTTCCACAGCCACGGTGAGCAGGGATTGTCATTGTGGCCTTGTGGGTGTCTGTGATAATCTTGCCTAACGGGTACTTAGCTGACCATGTTTCAAGTATAAAACCAAAGTTCTTGTCTCACTCCCATGAGCCAAACTAATTTGTTTATTCTCATCCTTTTACCACATTTTTTGTGCACAACACTGCAGACTAGATGGTAACAATTTTGAGTTAGGTGGGGAATCAGGTTGAAAAAAACCACCTGCCTCTTCGGAGATGAGATACAGCTCTGTCTTCCCTGTGGGTGTTCATCTGCCATCTTCAATGTTTGTAGCATTGAAAGTGGCTTAAATGCCGTGCTCATGCTCTGGTAGGAAAGAGGGTGCTTTTGAAGGGATGGTGACCACCGTGGAATGTGCAATTTTTGACTGGAAGCAGGGAAAGATCTTTCAGGTTTGATGGTGAGTAACATTGAGTAACAGGGAATACAGCAAATAATGAAACTGTAAGGCTGCTTCGCCCAGGACTGTCTCTGCTGTGCTCAGTATTGGCAGGAGAAGAAAAAACTCTCCTCCTTGGACTTATTCCAAGTGTGAGTGTGACTGAAGGTGAATATTCCATTTCCCATGACACGTGTGAGGGTCATGGAGCAGGAGGACTCAACATCATCCCTTGGGAAATCAGGTGGAGAAGGAAAATGAGCTGGAGGGTGAGAAGAAGTTCTCTACATCCAACATGCAAGCTGGCGTGAAAATCATGGAGGGAGACCTGTACCATGGGAAAATACAAACACGGAATTTCTAGTGCTGGATTAGATGAATTGAGAAGATGGCAGCCACCGGCGAGCCTGTCCCAGCCTCTCCTCCCTGGCTGCAGGGGATATGCTGAAGCAGCCAGGTGGGTCTGCATCTCCCTAAATCCGGAGAGACAGGAGAGGTGGAACTTCTAGACTTCTTTAAGCAGGTAAACCAGACAGAAAACTATGGAAGTTGACCAAGTTAGGAAATACTTATAGAAGATAAAATATTTCTTGTTATTAAAAATGAGATTAAGATGTTCAGGAAGGATTTATTCACACTCATTCACGTAAACACATTCTGGTTTTGGACAGTGCCTAAGAGTTACTGAAGACAATTGTTACTGTGTTAGTTACTGTGGCCAGTTGTATGGGGCTGGAGTGGGGGACAGGGGGTTGTGGAGGAAACAAGAGAAACCCATGAGGGAGAATTAAAAATGCTCACTCTAGCCCAAAAAGTACAGCCTTAAATTACAACCAGAAATAGCCCCTTCTGGAAAAGGACTAATTATTTTGAATATTACAGCCCCTATATTGCACTGCACTTAACTGAGAATTTGTTAATTAAAATAATTAGCTAATTCAGACAATTTCACATGTTTATTTTTAAACAGTGCAGGCTGTCCAAGGTTTTTGACCTGCAAGTCCAAACTATGCATCACCTAACCACAGCTTTTGCTAACCAGAAGTTATATACATATTTGAAACTCAGTATACATTTGAAACCATTTTAGATGCAATAACTTTAAAAGGATCAAAATAATTTAGCAACAAATTAAAATTCACAAATTGGGACTGAAAACTGCCTCTACAAAAATCTCTATATCTGGATGAGATGGAGGGAAACACTTGGTGATGCCTCTGTTTCTGGGTCACTTATTTTAAATCCCTCTGCTCCCAGTCTCTGTGTGTTTGTTATTTTATCCCCGTGGTCCCAGAGTGGATTATCAGCACCTCTGCCCTCGCAGACTCTCCTGGCTGCACCAAGGAGGCTTTACAGAGCCATTTATCTGGGAAGAGACCATGCGTGATTCCCATCTACCATTTTCTTAGTCCAGGTACAAACATCTGAATTATACTTAATTATTCTGTCACTCATTATTATAATTCTGTACCTTTTTGTACTCCAAGGGTACAAAGCGGATAATTGTAAGTGTACTCTTCTCACAAGAAAGGCAAAATTAGACCATCTTGAAAAGAAGCTGATGGTATTTGCAGCTTTATCAGAAAGTTCTTTTGACTCGCTGAACTCAAATTTTATTTAAAAACTGTCATTCCACTATTAGAGAAGGAACTTTGTTAATAACTAAGAAGTATGGAAAATTTTTGCATAGGACGTCAGATACATAGAATATGTAATTCAGCTGAAGCCTATAAACCTGAACTGACCCAGAAATACCTCAATCAAATCCTCTTCCTCTCCCAACAGCAGTCGTTTCAAGGCACAACATTGAGGCCACTGTGAAAAGTAGGGTCATAATCCAGATTAGGATGGGCTAGGAGGAGAACTTGGTTTTTCCTTGATGCAATTCCCCTTGTTCTGGCCTTTCTATCTGAAATATGGTCCCAATTTTCCTTCTTGGCTTTTTTTTTTTAATTGATTTTTTTCCATTTTACTCTCATAGACGTTGGTCACTGCCACCGAGGAGCTCCAGCAAAGCCTCCTCCACTGCGGTGTGACAGGGCTTCAGTTCTGTTGCTGTCCAGACAGTTGTTGCTTCAGTTGTCTGGCACTTGATTAAACCTTACATTTATTAAGACTGAAAGGAAGCTGTTAAATCGGTCAGGGTAAGTTATGCTTTAATTCAGCCCATTATACTGCCAATACAATTTGTTTCAATGAACTTTTAGCTCTCCAATTTCTTCCAGTTTGGACACACTGAAGAGCAAACCAAGCAATGGGAGCACGTGTGGGGAAAATGCCCAGAAATACACCATTTGTAGAGCAGGGTCTCATGACATATGATGCACCTTAATTTTTTTCAGTCTAAAGAGTAAGATTTTTTTAAATTAAATGAACCCAAAGGACCTCGGTATTCTACATCTGAAACCAACCGATCATTTTTGCAATGAAAGGAGACAGCTGCTCCAAGCTGAGTTTGCTCCCACAAAGCTTGGGGAATCACCCAAGTGAAATGCCCGAACCAACCGAAAACTGTCAGAATCAATAATTTAAGTTTATTCTGGGAACTTTGTAGAATAAATAGAGAAAAAACATTTAGAGAAACATATGTTGGAATTCTTTAAAGGTGAAGAATGTGACAACAACATACTGTGGAAGTAGGATGCTCAGATGTGTGTTTTATTGCTGCCATATTCAAAAGAAAAGCCTGAGGAAGCGGTGGGAGGGTCTTGGACTCCAACCAAGCGTGTCTCGGGTTTAGCTGGATGAGCACAGAGTGGGTGCAGCGCTGAAGGAGCTTCCCCACTGCTCTGTTTTTAAGAATTATTATTACTGGATTTAGGAGGAATTGAAGTGAAAGATTTGAGATGTAAACTTCACTGGTTGACTTTTGCTTAAGAGGCAGCCTTACAGGAAAGCTTTTCTTTAAAACTCTTTCCTCCTTTTTGCTGGGAGCAGCTCTCAAGATAAAAACCATGTTGGTTTTACATCAAAACAACCTAAAGTGAGAACTCTAGGTTATCTGAAATGTCGAAGCATTGAAGTTGTTGAAGCTGATGCTTATGAGATACCCTCTCCCTATGAGTGTGTTTCGCTGCAGATTTACAGCTAATTCTCTACTTAACTACCTGTCACAAGACTGTTCAAAGGTAGGGTTGTTTTAATTAGTGAAGTTACCAAAAACTGATAATTATTTACTGCATAACTGTGACAGAGGGCTTTGCAGGACCCTTGATATTGTTTTAAAACAGGCAGATCACAGTAGGAAGATGGAAGCAGATAAATTTGGCCATACTCAAGCTAATGCCTCACTTAAAGCCCTTAACTGAGGAATTAATCCAGATCACAAGATGAATCAGCAGTACCAATTTCCAGTTGAAACATGTGCCAATTATTTTATTTATCATGGCTTATTGTTACCTGATGTTGGAATAGGGACTCATCCACATTTATATTTTGTCCTTTCCTGTTTGCACTGTGCTGGAAAGAATTAGTATATCTAGGACAGGGGGAAAGCACCTAAGGAAACAGCCTCAGTTACCGTAAGAGAAAAGAATGAATGGAATCTGCACTCAGAAATAGTCTAGAGGGAGAAGGAAAGGAGCTCATATGTGACTGTACATATATAACTACATGTACTCAAACAAAATTTAACAGCAAATGAACAGTCAGTCACAATTTTACTGTGATCTTTAACTTGATTTATTAACTCAATTTCTTTGGTATGTTTTCTGGAAGTGAATGGTTGATGAGCTTGGGATTAATTAAGGTAAAGGTGAAATAGATTTCATATTTGTAGATTTGCTGTGCTAAGGCCTGAGAAGATCTCTAGCAGCAAAAGCCAGTCATTCAAAAGCTGGAAGGTTAAATTTGCAAGATACCTAAAAAAATGTTCTTAAAATATTCAAATTCAGAGGAAAGACACCATTCATCATGTGTTGACACAAGTGAGACGTGCTTTTATAGGCTAAAATCTAGAGCAGCTGTCTGCTCCAGAAATCCAGAGTGATACAATGATGCTGGGAAACAGGGAAGGAGCCTCATGAGCCTCCTCCAGGCCAGCCTTCTGCTCGGGGGTAGGACAGAGAAGACCAACTGACCAACTTTATGCTCAAAAGCAGATGAAGAAGGACAAGCCCGTGCAACGCTCTTGGCCCAGGTAATGCAGGTAAGACAGTGGTGCTGTTGCATGAAAGCACTGCTGTCCTTCTGTACATTTTAACTTTTTGGGTAAGTTGTGTCTAAGGTGCCCATTTCAAGGAAGCCCCAAACCCTCTTTAAGCAGCCTGCTTAAACCTGCACAGCAGCATTTCTTGCCTCTGTAAAATGATAAACTGAATCAAAGTCCCATCCAAGCTGTGGGAGCAAAGGGAGGGATGGGGAAGTAGACAGGGCAACTGCCCAGGTTTTGTTTGCTATGGTGGGTAGGGAGGCATTCTTGAAATCGAGTATGTGTATGTGACCGGGTTAATTAGCTG